TGGTATAATTGTATAGTACATGATGATGGTATATGGTATAATTGTAGCGTGTATTATCTGATGAAAAGCAATTTTATCGGCATTATTTCAATAAAAGTTTAAATAAGTATTATTAAAAAACTTCATTTGTTTGACATATTCAACAGTTTTTTATTTATTATAAAAAGTTATAAATACGTTGATAGGAATAATTACACATTCGTTGACAAACAATTTTTGAAAAAAGGTTGGATAACAAACTTTCATGCTTCTTGACAAATTTCTCTGAAAGCATAATTAGCATTGTGATAATATTTAGTAATTTTTGGGTTAAATAGATGCTGTTCTTAGTGTACCATTACAGGGGCGACGACACAGGTTTCTTAAAAAAGTCTTGTTAATCTAGAAACTTTCTTTAAAGAAACAGGTCCTTTACAAAAAAAAGTGTGTAGGAAGCGGAGGGGGAGAGGAGCCAGTGCTCCTCTGACCCCCTGGTGTCGTCGGCTCTGCATTAGCTTAGCATGTATTTTATTTATTCAGTTTAACAGCGTTTAATAGAAACAAACATGTTTTTAAAACGTTTTTGAAATGTTTGCTGCTATAACTATGCGACTAAAGATGTTCTTTTGAGGGTCTGTGACTGAATAGTTAGACTAATTTATAAGTAATAAATATGGTCGATTTCGTATAGCTGGTGTTTTTAATTCCCATTTCCGCTCAGCTGCTCGCAAGTACTCCACTCTCCCCTTAGTTATAAAAGTATGTTATATATATATTATATTATCTTTGTTTTACATTATATACTATATTAGTTTATATAAGTTACAAAAACAAAAAAAAAGTATGAACAGGATTAATATAACATAAAAAAGTACTTCATGTAAACTGGTTTAGTAAAATTTTAGAACAAAAACTTTTATTAGCTGACGAAAAGAAAATCGATGATACGAGTTGTTAACACTCGTAACACCGATTAAATAATTGCAATTTTGATTGGATAGAAAAGATTACATAATTTTGATTGGATTGAAATGAAATTGCATAAATATGTATATTTTTGTTTAGATTATACAAACAAATTTTCAATAATATTATTCTATTCAATTTTTTTTATACTGTTGCTAATGCAGTAACAATTTGGGATTCTTATAGGAAACTGGGTTCCACTTGGTAATGTTACTAACTCATAACAATGCTGAGCTGGACCAAGTTGGATCCCGCTGAAAGAATCATAATGGTATTCATTTGTAAAAAACAGATGATGTCCAGTATTTTGCCCTGTAGAGTATCAGTTGTATTAGTTAACTAGAAAGCTACTATTTTTTTAAACTAATTTCAAATTATTTTTTTTAATTTGTTATTGATCCGACAATATATTTTTCCTTAAATTATAGATTTCTCTTATTTAACTTCTTTAATATATAGGGAGTTTCTTCCTTAACGGTAAATTTATTAAAGATCTGTTCGATTTACTGAGTCAAGTTGAACAGGTTGATTAACTTTAGACACAACCTTTTTAAAAAAATCTGAAAATAATTAGGATTTAGGATCCACCAATTTATGAAAATATTCTGTTAAATGCACCGTTAAAGAGAACTAGTTTTAGTAAAAGTTGTTCAATCAGCCTCGCCATACCCTTTTGCGATATTGGATATAAAAACACTCTTTGTCTACTCCATTACTTTAGGAAACAACATGGTGGCACACTAAAACACTGCCATTATTTTAGGAGCAATTTTTTTTATTTTTTAAAACATTTTGTTACTAATATCAACTCTTTGTTACTAATATCAGATAACTACTTTAGAGCAAAAACGATAGATCTTCATAGCAGACATTTTTTTTTTGTAAAATTTATATCTCTCTTTAGGTAAGCAAATAGAAAGACATTTTTTTTGCATAAATATAAATTATATTAAAAAAAATTTTTGTCATATAAATATATATCATTATATATAAAATATACTAAAAACTATCAAATATATTTAATGTTTATAGAAAATATACATAAAAAATATTATAACATTTAAATCCGACAAATATAAATATATAAATAAATTATTTTTTTAATTAAAAAATTTTAAAATAGTTTTTGGTATAATAAGTAATACAATAGTAGGATAAATTGTACCGGCGCCTAAATTGTACCGGCGCCTAAATTGTACTTTTGCTGTACCTTATTTTTACAACCCAAAAAATATCTTTTGACTAAAATTTTATTTTTGCTTTGTTGAACTAATGAATCAATTGCTATTTTGTGAGGTAAAACAAGATTCTGGCAGCGATTTCTTCGAGTTGATATGATACCAAAGTTTTCTTATTTTGGGGGTTCAATGTGTAGAGTATTACTTTTAACATGTTAAGCATATGTCTTTTTTTATCATATTTACGTGAAAGCACAATTTATGTAAATTCAAAATAATTTCCAAGAAATTAAAATACAGTAGCATTTGTTGTCTAATTTCGTCATAAACTCAGTGACTCTAGTCGCGTAATTTGTACCTCACTCAAAGCCTTAAATTATACCATGGCTGCCATATTGAATTTTGAATATTTTTAACTTTTGTCAAGAATAAAAGTTTTCTGTTTTGTATTATTAATATATTGTCTAGTAACATCCATCATTTTCCACCAAAATTCTAGCTACCACTTTACTAAGTTACACATTTAATATAAAAGTTATACCTTATTAATGATACTTGTTTTCAGACTATTCCAAGAAAGATTTACAGTTTCACACTTTATTAAATTCAAAACCTTTTTGGATTATTTCGCACAGAAAAAGATCTTTACAAAAATTATTCATAATGTACTGTAAATTAATATAGTAAATGTAAAATTAAGATTGGATTGTAATGGTACGATTTAGGATCTTGTTTTCGTAATTGTACCGATAGCATGTTTTTTAAAATTTAATTCCCTATCAAACTCCAACGTTTAAATTTTTGAATATTTTAACTTTTTTTTAGAACATTATATCCCCAAACTATAAAATGCAATAATGTCTCATTGTTTCTACTTTGTATAGTTCTCTATTTTTGACTTCATTCTTAGAGGGTACAATATCGACAACTTTACCCTAACCAGATAAGTGCTAAAGAAGAAAATCGAAAACTCACCATTTTTTTTAACAAAGAAAATTCAAATTTGTTTCAACATTTCAAAATTTTTAACAACGGTATTTAATTTAAGTCTCTTAAACTTATAGGGTTTTCCATTTCTTGCAATTTGGTTGAAAACTCTAAGTACTGTGTTTTAGTTTAATTATGGTTAGAATTAAACATCTCGGCGGAAATAGTAGAAATCTGCGTATCTACCATAAATAATAAAGCGTCTACACAAAATAAGTGTGAAAGTAGAAAAACAACTAAAAAAAGGTGCTCATCAACTTTTATTTAGAACTAAGTATTAATTTAAATACACTTATAAAAGAAGATAAAGTATTTCAAAGAAATTAATTTATTACTGTGGGCATCTAATAAAAATTTTGAACTTTTGTTTTTGGTGGTACTTATAAGCGCACAGAATAAGAATCAAAACTATTTGATGCTTTTTAAATGACATTTTTAAATCTTTAACATTTCTGCATAGTTTTTTTTTTTTTTTTTTTTCATTTTTTGCTTAATAGTTACCTAGAGTACTTTGTAATAATTTTGAATTATAGGCAGTTTGGAAAATTTGCTATTTTAAACACAGCTTTCTCGTCATTTTATTCATAACATTCTAAGCTAGTTTGATAAATTAGGTCAGAACGAACGTCTACTAAAGAGTGATTTAGTAATAAGTAAAAATGTAAGAGTAAGACCCAGTTACCCCAGTAAGAGAGGGAAAAGACATATTTTTAAAGACTCTTTAACATATATTTTGCCAGAATGTGAGGACTCAGAAATATGGGTGCTAATTTTTAGCATACCTGCAAATAGCATGTCCTATCAAGGCTTTTTAAAGAAGCTTATCATGTTTAGCGTTTTTAATTTTCTTATTTGTTTTTTCTCTATATCTAACATTATAATAGACAGGGTTTTGCTGATAATTGTACTTATAAAGACTTTATCATCTTTATATAATACAATTTTTAATAAATGTCATACGTTTTTTTTCAGCGGGTTCTTGCACTGTTTTTTTAAATTCAGTTAACGGTTAGGCACTTTTTGTGACATTTTTATTTCAAACTTTTACAACAAAACCATAAGAAAATCTTTATTTTTTTGCGCGTTCCCATAGCGAGAGGCTTGGATTATTCATAAAACTGTTAACCAGTTTTCTAACCAGTTTTATATCTTAAAAAACCTTTTTTCCAGCGTTGCGTTGGATCGAATTCGTTTGGAAACATGTTAAATAACATAACTAACAGTGTTAAGGGATGTACTTGCAACTTTTTTGCAACTAATTGCAAAAAATGAACAAATGAAAAAAGAATGCAACAAGCTTCTATTTAGATTTTTCATAATATTTGTGCAAATTATTTTTTCTAACGTCTTCTTCTTTTGTCATTTTAAAAACTTATTTTAAATCAAATAAGAAAACTAAAACATTTTTTTGAAATCGTTACATGTGGCCCACAAAATGCGAACACAGTTTAAAAATATTTTAATACAATCTCTGAAAAAAACGTGTTTGCTGAGGTATTTACTCTTTCACATTTATTTGGTGTACACGCTTTACCAAGTACCTGCGCTACAGTTTTTACTAGAAAAGTTTAAGACCTAATTTTTTTTTTATTTGGACAGATTTTGGGCTCAATTAAGCATAGAGAGTTTTTATTCATATTCTTTGTAACGTCAACTATAAATAATTAGAGTTAAAACAAATATTATCCAATTATATTAGCCAATGCTAGTTACGCGAATTTGTACTATCCCCGACAGATTTGCACTATCCCCGACAATTTGTGTTTTACCAAAAACAAGGTAGATTACGTATTGCGTGATTAACAAAATACTTTATTTAATATTTGATTTCATATAAGATTAGGATATCTCTGTTAGCAACAGCCATGTTTTTGTATATAGGACTCTATTTGTTATGAATTTAGAAAACGTAATTACTATTTTATCCGCTCATATACCACAATGCATTTTTATAACATTCTTATAGTGGGAACGACGACTTAAAAATATTTAATTACTATTTTCCATCTTCGTTGTTGCATCTTTCGGTAAGATAGTTTTGATTTTTTAAATAAGTGATTTAATATAAAAATTAAAACCTATAACATATTTTTAAAAATATTTTCTGAGTCTGTTCATCAACGGAGAGCGTAGAGAGCGGAGGGGTCTAGAGAAACGCGATGTTACGCGCTGAAAAGTATTTTTGATTTTGTTATTAATTTATTATGTTCTTATTGTTTTTATCATTCTAGAAAGAATTATGTTAAAGATATACTTTTGAAAATGCAAATCTAAAATAATTGTTTTTTCATTATTACAAGTAATTTTACCGCGTTATTTTTTAACGGTTTTAGACAACAAAAAAAAAACTTTGTGATTTTGTCAGTCTACTTTTATTTCTTATAATAATATTTTTTTTTGTAACACTTTTTTTAACAAAAACTCGTACGTAGTGATCTTTGATAAGACTGATAGGTCTTCTCGTAACTTCTAAATAACCAAAAAAATATTTGTTTTGGAGAGATAGTGATTTACTATAACTTTTATATAGTTCATGTAAAATCATTTTTTTTAAAGCTCAAACATTGGTTATCGAGAAATTGTGTTGTATTCAGATTAATGAGAAAAAGGTTTTTTATTTTTCAGATTTTTGTGACAGCAGTCATTTTACACATTTTTACAAACTCAGTTTACCATATCAAAACTTTTAATTTGCGCTGTAAGCCATTTAAAAATATTAATCCTAAACAATTGAAAAATAACAAAGCATTTAATTGAAAGTAAAACTAAATTGTAGTCAAGGAAACCATGATAATAGCTTCTTTTATTGATAAACATTTTTTCATTATCTCCACTATTCAAAATATAATGGTAAATAAATTATCAAATCTGATTGAAATTACTTTAATTTTAATTAGATTATTCTAGAGAATTTTTATTTTCTAATAGGATTTATAAAAAATGTTTTTGAGGGTTTGCGACTGAAAAGTTAGACTAATTGATTAGCAATAAATATGATCAATTTTGTATAACTGGTATTTTTAATTCCCTTTCAGGTTTCGCTGTTCGCCAATACGCCACTCTCCCCTAAGTTATATATATATATTACATATATATATATATATTACATATATATATATATATATATATATATATATATATATATATATATATATATATATATATATATATATATATATATATATATATATATATATATATATATATATATATATATATATATATATATTATTTTAGTTTACATAAGTCATAAAAACAAAAAAGAAATATGACCAGGATCACATAAAATTGCAAAAAGTAATTTTGTATTCATGTATACTTGTTTAGTAAAATTTTAGAACAACAACCTTTATAAGCCCATGAAAAGAAAATCGATGATACGAGTCGATAAAGAATTACTGCAATTTTGATTGGTGTGTAATAGTATATATGTAATAGTGGTGTGTATGGTGTGTAAAAGTGTGTTAATATTTATAGTAAGTGAGAGTGCTTTGCAAAAATTGAAATGGTTACTAAGAATAAAACTGAAATGTGTGTTCGACTACATAATACAATATTATTTAAAAACTTTGGCGAATGGTCACACACAGTGTGTTCCACTACATAATACAATATGCATAATACAAACTTTGAATGAAACTTATTGTATGTTGATTAATATAAATTTAGTTTCAAATAGAAATATTATAAAACTCAATATCTTATTACCGTATTACCGAACGGGGAGAGGGGAAAAAAAAAACTTTGAGTAGTTAACACTTGACCACCTCCACCACCACTTGACCACCACCACTTACTTTCTAAAAATTTTAAAACTACCAGCTACTCAAATTAAACTAACACACAAAAAACACGCTTCAGAAAAAAGTGTTCCTAAAATGGTTACACCCGAAGGACTCCATCCCAAGCAGTAACCGAAAGCAAAGTTTTTTTAAGCGCAAAATAAAAAGTTTATGCCTATAAAATTATGCTAAATTTATGCTAATAATATCTAAAATAAAATTATGCTAAATTATGCTAATAATATCTAAAATAAACCAATTGGTGTTGTAAAATGCAAGATGTAAATACAGTTTCGTTACCACCCAATTTTAAATTTTTTTATTGAGTTATTATATGAAAAAAGTTGCCCCATTTTCCCCTACATAATTACATTCAGAAAATTTTACTAAGAAAAGAAAAACATTTGTGCAATTTCGTAAAAGTTCGTAAAAAACAATAGCAAAAAAGACAAAAAAGTTATTTATAAAAAAGCTACAAAACTCGTCGTTCAAAATCTTATGATAAAAAACATTCTCAAGCATTGAAACAAAAAAAAAAACAACCACAACTTCAATAAACAAATGAATTTGTTTAAAACCAATAAACCTCACGAACTCGATATAAATAAACGGAGTCTCTATTCACACGTAAAAAAACGTGCGAACAAACTATATTTATAGATAATCTATTTGCACGTTTAATTAAAAAAATGGTTAGCCTATTCACACCCACGAACGAATACCTAACCATTGATTATTAGTTTTTATTGTCTATTCGCACGTTAGAAAGAAACTTATAGTATTATAGTGTTACAAGTGGCCCACATGAAACTTACACGTATACGTGTAAGTTTCATGTGGGGCACTTGTGGAAGTTACATGCTTTTTATGTAAGGTCAGATTATATATCATAAATTCGATTAGAATTTTATACGTTTGTCCCACTTATAAACATTATGGTCACATGTGAAATCAAAAGCAAGTTCGTGTGCTTTTTATATTAGGTCAGATTTTATATTATAAACTAGATTAGAATTTCACACGTTTATTTCACTTATATATGTACATTTTTACACATTATTTCACTTATATATGTATATATATGTGGATGATATATTATATATTTATCATCAACTTGTTTATGATTTAACTTTTTTTTACTATACAACTTATGATCATATGTGGGCCACATATACTATTCATGTCGGGAAGTACAAGGCGAAATTCTTCCAAAATTTTCATGCGGATGACAAAATCATGTTGCATTCTGCAATATGATCTTCTTAATGTACTTGCATTCTTTTGCATTTTTTTAGTGACTCATAACGTTTCATTATTTGAGTCACCAATGCGTTGTGAAGATCCATGGAAAGCAAGAAAACTTTTGATTTTATCCTTTTATCCTTAAAAAAGCATAATTTCAACATTTCTTCTCAAAATTTGGTATTATTTTTCTAATTCCACTTTTATTGATGGTTCAATAAAATTATCAATTCCGCGGACGTCTTTACGGCGTCGTACCCCAGCTAACACAAAACGTTCAAGTACGTTCAACGGACGTTGCAAACCTTCAAGCACGTTTTATGAACGTTCATAGAACGTTCGCAACGTTTGTTGAACTTTCTTGAACTTTTTGTGTTAGCAGGGTACGTCACAAGTCCGTAGGACGTTCTCAAGACATCCAGCGGCGTTAAAGATAAAGAACGTCCAACGGACGTTTAGTTTAATGGCGTTAAAGAACGTCCAACAGACGTTCTCAAGGCCCAGCGGACGTTCTCTACCCGCTAAGGTCTTGAATTGACAAAGTTTCTAATTCACTTCATGCTAGATAAATATTTTTATTTCATAATCGTTTTCATGATATGCAATCTTGTTACATAACTTCCGCATATTTGCTCTGGCTGCACAGCCTTTAACTGTAGTTAATTCAAACTTGGAGGCAGTACTAGAGGTGGAACAGGCACTGCTACAAAATAAAAAGAAAAGCAACATAAAGAAACATTAAACTTGCTCCAGACATACCAGGTACGCTGTTCTGCATCAATGTTTCTAAACTTTTATATATCTTTAAAAAATTTTTGATTAATCTAATCTTTCGGCAACTTAAAAAGAAAAACAATATGACCTCTGGTAAAAAAAACGATTTATTTCTGATTGAGAAGGAAATTCTGCTATGATGAATCTAATATTTTTTTTGTACTTATTACTTATAGTAATTCTTATAGTATTTCTTGTACTTATTACTTATAGATTGGTGAAGTAAAACACTACTGAATTTAAAATTTTCTTTTGCATAAAGTCTGTTGCTTAATTACTATCTATAATTACAATTAGCATTTTATTCGTTGTTACACAACAGTGTTTGTGATTACCCATCATGTGTTCAGAATCACTACACGTACGTAGGGTAATTTCGAACAAAATTTTTTTTTTAGGTTCCCCAAGAAGACCTAACCCAGTTAACAATTCCAACTGGGGAAAATGCTGGGACCCATCTGGGTTTTCCACATGGTTCCCATTGCAATTCTGTCAGTGTGATCCAACTGGGTCCCATTGGGATTAGTCTAGGTTTTTGACGGAAAATTCCATATTGAACCCATATATTTTATTCATTTACCGCGGGTTTTCTCAACTTTTTATAGTTTCTTTTTTCGCAGATTTTTTGTATCTCGAATCTGCGAAATGTGACAATTTTTTAAAAAGCGTCCCATTTTTTATATAAAATTAAAAAGTAAAGGTTATTTATATTATCTATATTGAATTCGCTGCCAGGGCAATAAAATGTATTCAGCAAATGAATATTTGGTCTCACATAATTTTTACGAATCAATTGAAAATGCAGATTTGAGTTTCATAATATTTTTAAGCAACAAAAAACTAATATTATACAATGATTTGATGCAAAACTGTTCTACAATAGTATTATTCTGCCACAGTAGTTCTCTTATATCGCCGCCATAATCGCATGACAAAATTCTGCTTTAAAGTTAATCGTTTTCGTTTTCTTTAGTGCTTTCATTTTTCACTTTTACACTAATTTTATAAATTAAAAATAAACATTTGAATAATATAATAAGTTATAGCATATATATTTACAAAGTATAGATAAAAATATTTATTGATAATATTATTTAGGGCACACAATGCAGTGTACCATACCATGCCATATCTTGCACATAACTAACAAACACAAGGCAAACAAAAATACACGTACAAATCACAAGCTAACTCAATACAATATATAAATCGATATACGTGTTATAATTAGGGCTGTACCGGATTTCAGCTCCGGCCGAAATCCGGCCATTTTTACAAATCCGGCCCAAATCCGGCTCCGGCAAAAAATTAGCAAATCCGGCATAATTTTAGCCGGAGTTTTGAATTTTGTCAAATATTTATTACATTTTTTTTGCCCGTGTTTACATGTATACCTAATATTTTATAAAATAAATTTTTTTTTTTAATTCTATATTATATGAACCTCATATTTGTTTTGGTATAAGTATTTATATTTCTTTATAATTTAATAAGCTTAGTCTAATTTCAAACAACAACGCAACAAAAAATTCTGAAGGGAAAACACATGATATTCTACAATGATGCAGGTGTAAAGACTATGATGTCAACCCTAATCAAGTGATTGGATGAGCGTTTTAAAAGCATTGAAAAGAGAAACCTCTTTATATAATGACGAGGCTGGTTGACTCACAATTTAAAACTAAATTCTCCTCATTACAGGCAACACTGACAGCTGAAAAAGCAAGATTGAAGTCAATCTGAGCATGCTGAGCAGAAGACAAAACTGAAAAAAATCCACCAAAATAAGCCGGGCTTGATAATTTTTCATCACCATTACTCTGGCAATTTATTGATAAAATTATTTAGTCTACGTCCGCTGGTGGCAGGGCACATGAGCAACAATTACTAAAAGGCTTTGAAACTCAGCTAAGGAAATATCCGAAAGAACCAGAAATAAATAGAAACAATGATCCACTAAAGTGGCGGAGTGACAAATTCCCGGAAAAAAAGTTCAATAGAATTACTATAAACTTTTAAAACATATGGCCTATAGAATTTCTATAGAACTTCTATTAATTTATATATAGAAATTGCTATAAAACTTTTTAAATAACAACAATGAAGTTTAACAGAAAACAGCAGTCACTTGGTATTCTGAATAGTCCACATTGTTGACCATTCTTAACACCAAGTTAGGATGTACAGGATTTTGGCTCCTGTAGTTTTGTTTTGAAATCCGGCTTCGGCTCCGATTCCGACCAGAACTGTCAGTAGAAATCCAGCAAATTTGAAAAAATTAAATCCGGTACAGCCCTAGTTTTAATAATAATAGCCAGATTAAAGTTTGTCACTTTTAAAATATGGTTTTATTTTAACGAAAAATTGGTAAACTATGAAAAAAAATTATCATTAAATATTAATTTTCTAAACTTATATAATGAACGTTGCTCCAGCCATTTGTTTTATTATTTATGTTATTTTATAAATTGTAACTTTCTACGGCAAAATTAAATATTAAAAAAAAAAAAAAAAGTTTAAAATCTAGCTTTAATAACCCAAACTTACAATTGCCATATCAAAATGAACTCTCTCAAAGCTTTCGCAATGGGTATTTTCCTCACGAATACCCGTTACGAAGTTAAGTATTTGTGAAGAAAACACACATCGCAAAATATTTTTCTTTTTTTCCATAATCTGCAATTGTTTCTAATACAAATTGTTACTTTTTTCATATCCAATTTAAAAACTGTCTGTTTATCTTTTCTTTCATTGATCGGCTGCCCATTTTGCTCACGTTAACGTCATATATACTCAAAGTTGTTGGCGATACGTTAACTAACTCAATTTTTTAAATTGTAGGCACTACATTAACCGAACGCGTTTCAGAATATTTTACTGTGTTCGCCTTACATTGGCGCACTTTTTAAAAAATATCATCTTCGAACTAATCCAAATATTTGATCAATTAAGTGCTAACACCTCGCGTGAGCTTTTAGATAACAGTTTTTGTAAAATTTTATGATGTCACACCCCAAATTTAGAAAAATTGATTATTGTCTGCCACAATTTTGCCTTTCGTACACAGCTCACGTTTTATGTTTGCCAAAAATATTTCAATTGGATGAGGTTATAAAACGTTTGCTCGATTTATTTTTTTTGATACTATTTGATTACACTTTTTGAGTAATGGCTAGATGCAAGATCAGACTAGAAGACAAGCGTATCATCGTGATTTTGGATTATATACATAAGTCGCTTTTTTAAATATTTCTTCACGTAAACTCCAAATATTTAAAAAAGCGACTGATGTATATAGAAAATATTTTAAAAATTTTTGCACGCAAAAGCTAATGTATTGTTGCTTGATTGTAATGGTTAAAATTATTGATAATAGTTTTAACCATTACAAAGTGTTATCATAATTAAAATAATCAAATAGCTAAAAAGTGTTTAAAATGAGTAAACAAAAATATTATTCGAAAACGTTTTAGGAATTTTTCATTAAAATTTTTTGTCACAAGTTTTCCGGTGTTCCTCGATCCTCAGTTATTCTTTGATCCTCAGTTAGTTTCCAGAATTGTCACAAAATTTTCGTTAGATTTGTTTTGCGTTGGTATAAACAGACTCAATCTATAGAAATAAATATAAAAGCAAAATAAATATAAAGCAAAATAAATATAAAGCAAAATCATTCTCTCTATAAAGGATGATTGTTGCATTAAGATCTTGCCAGAAAATTTAAACGTTGTTAAGATTTGATAGAAAAAATACTTAGATATTAAGAATGTAAAAAAAAAAAGTACTTAGATATTAAGAATGTAAAAAAAAAGTACTTAGATATTAAGAATGTAAAAAAAAAGTACTTAGATATTAAGAATGTAAAAAAAAAGTACTTAGATATTAAGAATGTAAAAAAAAAGTACTTAGATATTAAGAATGTAAAAAAAAAGTACTTAGATATTAAGAATGTAAAAAAAAAAAGTACTTAGATATTAAGAATGTAAAAAGCAGATCATAAAAAAACTTCAAAGAGATCTTTCGATGGAGAAACTAAAGTTTTATTCATCGTTCAATAAAGCTATAAAAACTTTTGAACCGAGAAAAGTTATGCAAAACTGAAGACGATGAAATCTTTTTTAACAATTACTAGGCCAGCGATGTTTTTATCAATTAAAAAGTAGATAAGTTGCCAATAAATTCAAGTATTTATAAAACTGAGAAATTTACTCTCAAATTTCTATATGGCTAGCAATTTACGTATAATAGTCAACATGATTTGTCAGCATAATAGTCTAATTCTATAAAATATATTTAATATTCTATAATTCTATAATAGTCAATTTACAAAAAAATATTTTTGAAAAAAAGTCTTAAGGGAGGGGGGGGGCTACTACCCCCATGGCCACCCACCTAAAACCCGCCTATGGTATGAACTGTCAACTAACGATATTTCCGCACTTTATTCTCGCACTTTACCTGTTGAAAATTTTGTTTGTCCATATTTTACCAATGTCCTCTACGCAAAATTTTAATTTATGCGTTGAATTTTAAATAGACACTTATGCTTTTCAACTAATGTTTATACTTTTTAGTGACATTCATTTTGTTAAAACTAATTTTTTTTCATTTAGCCATGCATGCTTTGACTAGACTTTGGTGTATTTCATTGGTGTTGAAATGTATTGTGTCAATTCAAATTATTCCTACGTTTACAAACTATGAAAAAGCAAAAACTGAGTTGTTTAATCTAATTGAATTATTTAAAAATGGCCGAGATTTACCAATGATTGCTGGCTGTGTTCGTCTTGCATTCCATGATTGTATTGGGAAAGAATATTGTAATGGATGTATTGATCATACACACGCAGGTAATGCTGGGTTAAAAGTAACAACAGATCGTATTAATGAATTGTATGAAAAATCGTTTAAAGGTAGTATTTCTAGAGCAGACTTTTATGCTTTGGCCGCTGTCGTTGCTTTAACTAGGTCCACCGCAGATGCTCCGGTAAAATACAAAGGACTAGACTTTTTCAAAGTAGGTAGAAAAGATTGCGACTCTTCTCCAAATGAAATTCAAAGCGTAACACCACCAAGTGGCACTGACGGGACAAATAAAACATTTAAATTTTTTCAAGACAATTTTAACTTTACCGTAAGAGATACTGTAGTGATATTAGGAGCACACACACTAGGAAGATGCAATTTAGTAAATACTGGTTTTGTTGGAACTTGGGTAGACGATGAATTTTCAACCGTTATTAAAGGCCCATCCACATTAGCTCCAACAAGCGTTCTTGACAATGCTTACTATAGGGAAATTATTGATAATTTGTCATGGAAACAGGTAACTATTGATGGTGTAAAAAAGCAATGGCAAAAGGAAAATACATTGATACCAAATGATAAATTGCCCGAGGCTAACAGAAGTACATTGCTTTTAAATTCAGATATTACTAATTCTTGGGTCATTGAGCCAACCGATGAAAGTGGAACTGTTGCTTGTGCACCAACGTCGACAAATAATACATGTCAGCACTCAGTTGCTCATAACTACACTCTTGAATTTGCACGTAATAACTCATTGTGGATGATTGAGTTTACAAATGTATTTGGTCGCATGATTGAAATGAACGAAAACGTTTTAATGGATCGGCCTACACCAAGCAGTCAATGGCGAGTGATACCTTTTTACGCAACATATATTTTCACGTTTGCGTTTTATATTTTGGTTATTCTTTAAAAATTGTTTTTAAATATTTTAATATTTTTCTTGCACATTTCTGCATTCTATATTGTTTTAATTTTTGAATAAAATGTGTTTTTTTTATATCTTTGTAACAATTGAAAAATATTTATTGTGTGACTCATATGTACCTTCTTAAAATATGTTTTACTATATAGAATCTTATTTTTTTTCCCTTCTTAACTGTCGTACGGTCAATCCTTTTAATTGTTGTGCGACCAATACATGTGTAAGACAATAATGCTTTGATTTCTCGGTTAACTAACTTTAATTAGTGATTATTTGATTGGGCTATGATTGGGTTAAACTAAATAATAATTCAATTGCAACTTGTTTTGGATTTCTTTTACGCAGCAAACCTTGGCTCTGTATTTTTTTTTTTTTTTTTTTTTTTTGTATTGTGATAACCTTGGTTCTGTAGTTAATTTTCCCTACACTCTTAAGATAATGTAAAGTTTATAAGATATGTATACTAAAGGACATATATATTTTACTTGCGGCGCGGCATTTAAGTTCTCATAAATTATAATGGAGGTATATTTAGAGTTTTAAGAAATATGAATATTATTTTTGAAAAAACATCTGCACCAAGTTTACATGATTTATTAGCATTTTTTTAAACTTAAGTTTGTAATATAATATATTTGTAACACGAAATCCAATACTCTCTCGTGTCCTTCTGCCTTACTGATTCCTTTTAGTATTGACTTTTTTCGAAAAGGATATAATAGGAGAAATTAACTCTAAGTTAAAATGCCCAATGTTCTTAGATTTCTTGCTAAGTAATGTCTAGAGATGTCAATGTCTAGATGTTGTAATGTCTAGTGTCTCAACAAAGTACTTGGGCAAATGTTTACTAGAATCAAAACAATCAAAATATAAAAATTAAAAACTTCTATAGCTAATTACCTGAATGAGAAAAAGTAAGATAAGATAAAAACAAATTGTTTTTCTCTTATAAAAAACATCGCAACGGCAAATATATTCAAACTTATAGATTATCTTCAATATCGAAATAGTTTAGAGTAAAATCTATTGTTAATGTAAAACGTTTCTTATGTTGCTAGTAATGTGAAATTTGACATGATCACTTTATTATTATTAGACAAAAAAAAAAGTTTACTGAACTTCATGCAGATAAAATATAAACAATATTTTTATCTCTTTTTTTTTCAAAACCATATAACAAAATATATCAAATTTAAACTCAAAATTTATAAAATAATTTTAATCAACGGTAATTATATACTAAAAAAAAGTTAGAACAATTTTGCAGTTGCGAAAGGCAATAAAAAAGGATTTTAATAAGAACTAAATTATATAAAACGCCTATTTGAAGAAGTTTATTTTTTTTTGGCGGTTGTTTGAATTATATAAGCTCTCGGGTTTTTTTGGCCATGTTTTAGTACAATTAAACTCCCGGGGTAGTTTAAGGTAGCAGATCCCCTTAAAATAAAGTTGCTTAAACTATTTTTTTTATTTTATTTGCATTCACTCCCAACAAGGCTGCAAGCAACCACTATTAAGTTGGGAGTTAATAGGAAAAAAAAAAAGAACAGAGTTATAGAGCAAGGAAACGGTTGACAGAAGACTTGAAAAGTTGAAGGTTGTATGAGTCAGGAAAACATGAAGATGGGAGAGAGTTCCAAAGGATTGAAGTGCGGGGAAAAAAACTAGATGAATAAAAGTTTTTAGAGCATGCAGGGACAGATACAGTAAACGAATGAGACTTAGCTGAATGACGAGTAAAACGAGAATGAACTTTAGTTGATGGAACTAGAGATGATAACTCCTTTGAGCAGTGACCATGATAGTATCTGTAAAAAGAGAAAGAGATGCAACTTTACGACGATGGGAAAGAGGTTCAAGCTTAGCAGATAGTCCAGGTCCAACAACATTTACAATGCGTTTTTGGACCTTGTCAAGAAGAGAAAGTGAATCGTTAGAAGAACCATATAACAACATAATATGACAACAGTATTCCATACAGGGACGAATAAGAGATTTGTAGAGGTAAAGAATGAAATCAGAAGTAAGGAAATGGCGAGCATGATAAAGAGAAGCAACCTTAGCAGAAGCTAATTTAGCAATCGATTGTATATATGATTTCCATGAAAGGTCAGTAGTAAGCGATAATCCAAGAAGACGTAAAGAGGAGGACTCAGCAAGAGGATTGCCATTCATTAATATAGGAATGTTGACCATATTACGGTAGTTGTTTGCAATAAGCAATTGGGTTTTTTTAGAGTTGAAATTCACAAGCCACTGTGAACCCCAATCTATTACTGAAGTGAGATCAGATTCAAGATCAGCTGCTTGTTCTAGGCGATCAAAAAGAGAAGACTTTTTGTCAAGACAGGAGTATAAAGTTGAGTCATCAGCAAAAAGAGCTACTTTAGATGAATGGTTGTCAGGAAGATCGTTTATGTTGATAAGAAACAAAACAGGGCCCAGGATGGAACCTTGGGGAACCCCAGAAGTTACTGGAAATAAAGAAGAGTGTTGGCCTTCAAGGATGACTTTAATAAACCGGTTAGAAAGAAATGATTTGATAATCTCAAAAACTTTCCCAGAAACACCATATGAAGCAAGCTTATGGAGAAGACCAGCATGCCAAACTTTGTCGAAAGCTTTAGATATGTCGAGAGCAATAGCCAGAGCCTCACCGCCTCCATTTAATGCACAATAAAATCTTTCAGTTACAGCAGTTAACAAGTCGGCCGTAGAGCGAGAGGATCGAAAACCGTATTGATTGTCTGACAGTAGTTTATTTGACTCAAGATGAGATGTGAGGAATTTGTTGATCAAAGACTCAAAGACCTTGCTAATAACAGAAAAAAGACTGATCGGACGATAATTGGAGGGGTCAGAATTTTCTCCAGAGTTTTTGAACATTGGAACTGCAGATGCCATTTTCCAACAAGCAGGAAAACAAGACTCAGTCAAACACTTGTTAAATAGTTTAGAGAGAATTGAAGAAAGTTCTGGAGAACAATTCTGCAAGACTGTGACAGGAATGTTGTCTGGACCACAAGCTGTAGACGAGTTTAATTGAGATATGACTTTAGCAACAGAAGCCGGAGTGATTTGAATGTCTAACAATGGGTCAACCTGTTTGACTGGAATGGAAGGAAGAGAATGTCCATAAGATTCAAGAGTGGAATTAGAAGAAAAGTTCTTTGCAAATAGTTCTGCCTTATCCTTGGGAGAGGTAAAAAGATCAGTCCCATGAATGAGAGATGGAATGTTAGATCTACCCTTGTTAACAATGCTGTTGAAGATTTTCCAAAAGTCTTTAGAGCCTAACTTCTGCGATAAGATGCGAGATTTAGTGAATTGAGAATAATGGAGTTTAGCATCAGAAAGCACCTTTTTACATCGATTTCTTGCAATAATAAATAGCCGTTTGTTCTCAAGAGAGTTGTTGTTTTAAAAAAGATGAAAAAAATGATTACGATTGGATATAGCAGCCGCACAAGAAGGAGAAAACCATGGAGTAGAATGAGGCTTGACTTGAAACCGACGAGAAGGAATAAAAGCTTCCATTCCAGCCTGAATCCAGGAGGTTACGTAGGAGGCGCATTTGTCAGCTGAGAGCGAAAAAACATCAGCCCAAGGACCATCACGAAGAAAATCACGAAAGGAATCCCAGTCAGCTTTAGGGTAGTAGTAGGTGGTGCGATGATAAGGTGAGCCCAAAAAAGAAGTACGAGAAGAAAGATTTATAGAGATCATTGCATGGTCAGAACCACCTAAGGGAGAAAAGGGAGAAACTGAACATAAGCTAGGGTCAGAGACAAGACATTAGGGTTGTCAGGAAAACGAGTCACAAAGTTAACTATCTGAGTAAGAGATTGAGAAACGCAGAAGTTAAAGGCTTTAGTGCCAGCAGGATCAGTGGTGTTAGAGCCAAGCCATTCAGTGTGATGGGCATTAAAATCACCAACAACAACAATATTGGCAGAGGGGTAAAGAGAGAGGGCATGGTCAATTTGATCAAAGATATCATCTAAAAGAGTGCAATCATTAGAAGAAGGAGAACGATAAAGAACAAAGAGAAAGGTGATAGAGTGAAGAGGTGCTAGGCGAAAGCACATAAAAGAATGGTCAAAGGATTCGAACCTGATTTCACGACAAATAGGGGAATTAATGCGTAAGTATACCCCTAAACCTAGCATGTGACTATTGGAGTCTTTACGAATCAAAGGATAGTACCCATCAACACTGACATCTGAAGAAGAAATTGCAAAATTTAAATTTGTTTCACTGAGTGCAAGCAAGTCTGGTGAATTTTGCAGGAGGTAAGACTCAACTGATGGAAAGTTGCTTTGTAGACCGCGAATATTTGTAAAAGATATATTAAATTATTTAGGTAGTGGGGATGGTTTTTTAGGTTTTAAATTTTTGGTTACTTTGGTCATGATTTGGGTTTAATGAGAATAGATAGAGCACAGCCTCCTAATCAATGAGCTATGCAGTTGTCTCTGTCCTGTTAATTAACCCTAAGCCATGACATAGGGCTCCTTATGTAGCCTTGACAATGCACACCAAAAGCATTAACAGGGACACCATCCATGCGCAACATGGCACTGTTAACACTCTGATATTTTGCAGCTGTTGATGGAATCAGCCTCTCTGAGAGCTACCACAGAGTTCGGGAAACCTTACTACCAGCCGGCCTCAGAACCATTAAACTGAGTTTTAGAGCTGTACCCTCATATGGAGATAACAGGAAGAGTTGCATAGCCATTATCAGGGAGGCATAAGCAAAATTCTATGAGTAGAGTCAAGGAGATCCAGCATTCATCATCCTAGGCAGGAAACAATGTAACACAGGTTACATCTACGCCAGCCTAATAGATGAAGAAGGGGTTCGAGGCTGGTTAGTAGAATTTTTCTGCTTACCCCTAAAGTCTTTGCCTAGAAGGCCTTCTACAAGACAGTAGCTGGATGCAGTTAACATCTGCCCAAGATGAGTATTTTTATCGAGACACCATCTCTAGCCTTTACTCAACCAAGAGCCCCAAGGCAGGGGATGTTTAGCTGGATGCAGTTAACATCTGCCCAAGATGAGTGTTTTTATCGAGACACCATCTCTGACCTTTACTCAACCAAGAGCCCCAAGGCAGGGGAATTTTTAGTCGGAGTTTATTTCTCCTAGCCTTTGCATAAGAAGAGCACACTCTGCAAGGCAGCAGGGCTTGTTGCAGGTGGTACTGGGTTACGTGATACCAGTAGCAAGATTGATCTCGATTATCCTGACCTGACCTGGAGTAGTTAAAAGGAGTTACTTCCCGCAACAGTACTTTGAGAAAACCAGGCATGACAT